AGTTGCGATGACGGTGATGAAATGGGGATGGGGTTTGGCGTGGTGGATGAGTCGGGAGGGCGGTCAATTCCGCTCTCGTGGATGTGCATGTGGCCACATAGGCCCATGCGATGCGTGAAGGTGCGAGGGCAGTGTGGGCAGTGGCGGCGAGTGCGGTGGGTGTAGGTTGGTGCTCCTGGCATTGGTTCGCCAGTCTCTATGCGATGGATTCGCAAGTGACTGACCAGGCCGATATGTTAGGTGAAGGTGCAGTCGCAGTGAGGGCAAATGTAGTCCTGGTCCTCACCCCTGGAGTCGGAGGTTGGAGGGATGTTGTCTGTTGCTGTGGCATGGATGTGTGTGATGCTGGTGTGAGTGACGGCCACCAGAGCGGCCGTGGTTGGTGCAGTGGGGCAGGAGGAGGAGGAGGAGGACGGAAGTGGTGGTTCAGAAGAATTGTCAGAGTTAGTTGGCGGGGTGTAGGGGTGTCAGCGGTGGGTTCACGTGACGGTCGTAGGGGTCGCTCATTTGTTTGCAGGTGAGACTACGCCTAGCGTCCATTTGCTGTCACCCAACTCTCACCTGTGGCTCCACGTAGCTGGGCTCTGCTCAGCAGCCACAGCCCGGGAACCGCCTCGACCGGCGGGCTAAACCAGGTGAGGGCGATTTCTCCCGGTGCGCGTTGTGCCACGTGCACAGGGTACTGCGGACTCCGCTGGACAGGTTGGTCGGATGGAACACCGTGTCGGCACCGTCGTGAAGAGGTTTCGTCTACGCTGTCGATGAGCCGGTTGGTGGAACATCGCATCGTCATCGTCGAGACGAGGCTCCGCCTGATACGCCGTTGATCAGCCGGTGGGATGGATCGACATCGCGGACTCGCGTCCATCTGGTGCACCGTAGGAGACCGCAGGCTTATGGCAATGCCGCAAGCCATTGGCAAATTCGAGTCGTTCTTCACTGCCAAACAAACTCGTGGCCCACAGTGGAGTTCGGCCGCGCCGGCACATCAAGCAGCCCTATTCAGGGACCTGGCATTGCTTCTCTTCGGAGGGGGCCTGGAAAAGCTGGCCTAAAAATTTCTGGGGAACCACGTCGTCTGCAGGCGTACCGTGGTGGCAGACGCAAAACTCACGGTCGAAACAATCAAAATCGAAATAACAACAACAACAACAACCATACTCATTCTCCTCATCCTACCTCTTCTTTCTCTTCCTCTGCCTATTCTTCTCCTTAGTCGCCTTCTTCTCCACCTCCTTCCCGTCGCCCCACCTGTTGTCAACAGACTGGCAGGATGAGCCCGCTCACTCTGGCAGCCTGGAATGTTCGTTCCCTTTTAGACAATCCGAGGAGTTACCGACCGGAGCGGAGGACGGCGCCAGTGGCACGAGAACTGGTGCGCTACAAGGTGGACATCGCCACACTCAGCGAGACCCGATTCTCCGAACAAGGCCAACTGGAGGAGATGGGTACCGGCTACACCTTCTTCTGGAGTGGGCGGCCCAGGGCAGAGCGACGAGACGCGGGTGTCGCCTTCGCCATTCGGAACGACATCGTTGGACGACTACCCTGTTTGCCGCAGGGCATCAACGATCGTCTGATGAGCCTCCGCCTGCCTCTCTGGGGAGGCAAATTCGTCACCATCATCAGCGCCTATGTTCCGACGATGACCAACCCCGACGCCATCAGAGACAAATTCTACGAGGACTTGCACGCCCTCTTGGCGGACAAGTTGATTGTCCTTGGTGACATCAACGCCCGCGTAGACACACACCATGCTGCCTAGAGAGGAGTGCTGGGTCCCCATGGTCTCCGCGGCTCAAACGACAATGGTCTGCTGCTGCTCCGCACCTGCGCAGAACACCGCCTTATCCTGACAAACACGTTCTTCTGTCTGCCGGAGCGAGAGAAGGCCACTTGGAGGCATCCTCGGTCGCGTCAGCGGCACCTGCTGGACTATGTCCTCGTCCGGAGGCGAGATCAGCGGGACGTGCTGGTGACGAAGGCGATCGCGGGTGCTGACGGGTGGACCGACCACCGCCTTGTCATCTCGAAGATGCGTATTCGCCTACAGCCTCGCAGGAGACCACAAGGTAAGCGACCCCCAGGTAAGCTGAATGTTGCTTTGTTGTCTTTGCACGCTCACCGTCTTCATTTCAGCAATGAGCTAGCTCAAAGGCTCGACAACCTTCCTATCGCTGCTGACGCCGCCGCTGCCGAGAACGCCTCCGTGGAGAACCACTGGTGTCAACTGCGAGACACGATCCAGTCGACGGCGCTCACCGTCCTCGGTCGCGCTCCCCGCCAACACCAGGAATGGTTCGACGACAACGACGCCGCCATCAGAAATCTGCTTGCTGAGAAGAACCGCCTACACAAAGCCTACGTAGACCACCCCAATGACGACAACAGAGCTGCCTTCTACCGCAGTCGCCGCCAACTTCAGCAACGACTGCGCGAGATGCAGGACGCCTAGACTGCTCGCAAAGCTGAGGAGATCCAAGGCTACGCGGGCCGCAACGAGTGGAAGAACTTCTCCGCGATCAAAGCTGTCTACGGTCCGCCGACAAAGGGCACTGCTCCTCTCCTCAGCGCCGACGGTAGCACTCTCCTGAATGAGAGGACACAAATTTTACACAGATGGGTCGAGCATTTCCGAGGCGTCCTCAACCTCTCCTCCGCCATCTCCGACGTCGCCATCGCCCGCTTGCCGCAAGTGGAGACCAACGTGGACCTCGACCTCCCGCCATCTCTCCAGGAAACCATCAGGGCCGTGCAGCAGCTCCCCAGCGGGAAAGCACCCGGATCGGACGAAATCCCTGCTGAGGTCTACAAGCACGGAGGTCCCCAACTAATGGATCACCTGACTGCGCTCTTCCAGGAGATGTGGCGTCAAGGGCAAGATTTCAAAGACCCAACCATCGTGCATCTCTACAAGCGAAAAGGAAACCGCCAAGTCTGCGACAAGCACCGTGGCATCTCCTTGATGAACATCGCCAGGAAGATCTTCGCTCGCATCCTTCTCAACCGCCTCAGTAACCACCTGGAACAGGGCCTTCCGCCGGAAAGCCAGTGCGGCTTCCGTCGTCATCGCGGGACCACGGATATGATCTTCGCCGCCCGCCAACTTCAGGAGAAGTGTCAGGAGATGCGGGCCCACCTGTACTCTACCTTCGTGGACCTGACGAAAGCCTTCGACACGTTGAATCGTGAAGGACTGTGGAAGATCATTCAGAAATTCGGCTGTCCGGAGCGATTCACTCAGATAGTGCGTCAGCTGCACGACGGTATGATGGCGCGAGTCACGGACAACGGAGCTGTCTCAGAGGCATTCGCAGTGACCAATGGAGTGAAGCAGGAATGCGTGCTGGCACCAACCCTCTTCAGTCTTATGTTCTCTGCCATGCTGATGGACGCCTACCGTGACGAACGTATCGGGATCCGCATCGCCTACAGGACGGACGGTCACCTTCTGAATCAACGGCGGATGCGCTTCCAATCACGCGTCTCCACAACCACCGTGCACGAACTCCTCTTCGCCGACGACTGCGCCCTGAACACCACCTCGGAAGAGGAGATGCAACGCAGCATGGACCTGTTCTCCGCCGCCTGCGAGAACTTCGGTCTGGTCATTAACACGCAGATGACGGTGGTCATGCATCAACCGCCACCCAACTCGGCCACAGCCCCCAACGTGCCGCCGCAAATCAGCGTGAACGGAACCCAACTGCAAGTGGTGGAGAACTTCCCGTACCTGGGCAGCACCCTCTCCCCTAACGCCAAAATCGATGACGAAGTCGCTCGCAGGATCTCGAAAGCCACTCAAGCCTTCGGCCGCCTCCAAAGCACAGTCTGGAATCGTCACGGCCTCCAACTGAGCACGAAGCTGAAGATGTACAAGGCCGTCATCCTGCCAACGCTGCTGTACGGAGCGGAGACTAGGACAGTATACACAATGCAGGCACGCCGACTGAACCACTTTCAACTTAGCTGTCTCCGTCGCATCCTGAAGCCGAACTAGCAGGATCGAATCCCCGACACTGATGTGCTGAAACGGACGGGAATCCTCAGCATCTATACCATGCTGAGGCAAATTCAGCTGCGCTGGAGCGGCCACCTGGTGCGCATGGACGACGAGCGACTACCCAAACGACTCTTCTACGGAGACGTCGCCACGGGCTCTCGTCGCCAAGGAGGCCAACTTCGTCGATACAAGGATACTCTGAAGTCCTCCCTGAAGCTTCTGCAAATTAACCCGACCAACTGGGAAGAGCCCGCCCTCGACCGACCGACCTGGAGGAGGAAAGTGAAGACAGGCGCTGCGATCTATGAGGCCAACCGAATCGCCGCTGCCAAAGTGAAACGCGACGCACGCAAATCGCAGCCACGCCCTGTCCGCAACGCCGTCGCACAACCGCTCCCAACGTGTCCTCGGTGTCAACGGACATTCCGGGCACGAATTGGACTCATTGGACATCTTCGGACCAACTGCACCTCTCATACCGCACCCACTGCCGTCCCTTCGCCCGCCTCTTCCTCGTCCTCTCCGCCGCCATCCCGTCCCATATAACTGTACTGGCCTGACGAGAAGTTATCGAAGGCAACGTTCGCTCGCCACCTTTTCTTCTGAGTATCTTTAAGCTGGGTTACTACTTACAACCACCTAGACATTGACTCACGTCTGGGAATAGCGTGTCGCACCAGTCAAATGAACGATACTATACTGAAACCCCTGTTTCGAACGTTGCCTCTTGCGTTAACAGCCAAAAAAGTGCGGTGTATGGTCAAGTTCAGGCTTATTTGGCCACTTTACTTAAAAAAACCAATATGAGGAGTTTGGCAACCTGCATAATTCACATATAAGATATAGTGAAAAAAGAGAGAGAGAGAGAGCGAGTAAGGACAAATATGAGGAATAAAGAGGGACGTCGCACCTTCAGGTACTTGGCATTGGGACTGCCTTGCGGCACACAGCCAGCCACGACCACCCGCTTGTCCTTCGCCTTGGCCTCAAGTAGGGCATTTCGGAAGTGATCCTCCGCCGGTCCCTTGACGGTGCAGCTGTTAAGCAGCCACAGATCGGCGGCCTCTCGTGCTGACGCCTTGGAAGGCGCAGTAGAGATACGCTGATTGGGCTGCTTCTGACAGCAGGCACTGCCCTCAGTACACCCAGTCTCACAGTCCACCGACGAGTCGTCGGTGGCAGATCGATGGACTTGATTGGTGCGGGTCACCGCCGTCGCTGCCTCCTCC